GCCCAATAGCAATCTTCCATTTTTAGCTGCATTCCTCGAAACTCAGGTGTGTTTGGATTTTTTGCGAAACGAGAATGTAAAGAATTGTTTTCAGTTGTATTCAGCACTATTCCCGATACTTTTGCGGTATCTTAGCTTTATTTTCTGCAGTTCGCCTACTTCTCCCCAACGATAGTAGCCGTCGTACGTGAAAAGTAGTCTGTCAGAACTTATTTTAAAAAAAAAGTTTTCAGGAGCCTTGTTTTTTTTGGATACGTTGCAGAAAGAAATGTCCACGGGGTCGTCCGCTTTCTTCTACATAAGTAGAATATTCTTTTTCTAGATGTTTACCTCATTTGTGGACTCAAAAATTGTTTCACAATGGGAAACACCGGACGAAAATCTGCAAATCTTTGATTCGCGGATTCAAGCTCTGCGAACCAAATATGGCCTGCAAATGGTGCGCACTCCTACTTACGAAAAAGCACCACCATCATTCGACTCAGGTCTCATTCTTTTTTGTCAATTTTTTTGATATTCTTTCTTTTTTTTTGACCAACTTCTGTATCGAAATTTCACCGCATATAATATTTTTCTGTAAAACATTTTTCGTGGTGAGAAGTGCCAGAAGTTTTTTGTGAGGGACTTATTCCTTATTGCTATCGGTTTTGTGAGCACGGCGCAGTGGCAAATAGTGCCCATGTCGAAGCTTGACCATTCCACAGCGCCAGTGGAATAACCAGCCCCTGTACATTTCGTTTGCTTGTTTTAACGATAAATTGGTACTGACATGTACCAGGGTATCACTGGCAGAATGCTCCTGAGCAGCTGTCGGATGAAGGAGGCATCAAAGATGTTGCCAGCAGAAGGTCACTGTTAGCGGGCGCTGCCGTTCGAAATTGTAATTTTAATTTTAGATAATGTGAGTTTATGTAAAAAATAAGGGTATGAAAGTAAAGGAATAAAAGGGAATGAGAATAAGTTAAATCTGAATAAAAATCTGGATAGGAATGTTTCGGTCCATCAAGTCGCATACATTCCTGTTCAGTGCTGCAACTGCACCTCGTCAAGGTTGCAGCAAAAATAACATGCAGTGTGTCAAAAAGAGAAAGGAAAATTAAGATAATGTAGAAAAGTTAAAGCAAAGGTTAAAAGTGCATTTTATAAAAAATACCTCCACCATTACGAATACTGAACCGGAGTTGTACCTGTAAAGTAAATAAAATAAAAGTGAAACTTTAACCTGTGGTAGAGATAAGAGAATTGGACAGTTCTAAATAAAAATTAAGGAAAAGACTGTAGCCTGTTTTAAACTATAGCCTGAATACCTCCAGGTTACTTGGTCTCTCGCATAAATTAAGAAGTGAATTTCGGCTTGCTGTTTCATTTATAATTCTTGTTTCATTTTTTTCTCAGTCGTGTATACAGTTGTTGCTATTGTCAGTATTTGTAGTTCTAAAGTATGCTGCTTAATTTTGCATTTCAGAAGAAGTGATTGTGAAACGTGAAGAAGCACTTGACTATATAGTGCCAGTGCCACATGAACTTCCCGGCACATCAGCAAAAATCTACGACGGAACATTCCCTGAGCTTAATGAAAGTGTTCTGGAAGGTTCCTGTATTCGGAGTCCAATGCCTTCGCCGTGGAAACAGCGACATCGAAGACTGCGCCCTAAATTACAGGAGGTGTTTTTTACGGTCAATGTTTATTAGTAGAAACATGTAAAAATTGGACGCTGCATATGCAGTTTTTGGGCAAAATTAATACGTCTCTGTTGTGTCATACTGAATTTTTGTGGAAATATTTGACTAAAAACCTGAAATTGAATTTACTAGCCTTAGATCTTCGGCAGTATTGCATTGTTTCCAAGAATAGGATATACTATTGTCAAGTCCTGCTCTCTTGAGCTTTGACTTCGTCGCTTAGATAACTACTTCCCATCGAGGTTGCAGGTGATTTTTGTGCATTTTGTGCTGTGTAACAGCAGTACAAAACTCATATTGTCACGGAGTTGTCTGTGTTTTTGTGTGTATTTATGTGCGTGTATGTGTGTGTGTGTGTGTGTGTGTCCGTAACTTTCAAAAGCTAGGAAGCTGAAAATTTGGAGGAACGTTCCTCAACCACATGCGACTCCGCATATTTAAATTCAGTCTCCCCGTACCCGCGGCTAATATGTATGGTCCCGTGGAAATTTTGGCGGGTAAATTATTATCTCGAGAACTACAAAATCTGCGAAACTGAAATTTCACGGTAATGGCCCCTTTTCCACACACGACCATGCAAACTCAAATTCAGCGTTCCCGCTCTCTCGGGTATCCACCTACGGCCCTATGTAAATTTTGACAGGTGAACTATTATCTCGGGAATCACAAAATCCACGAAGCTGAAATTTTAGGGTAATGACCGTTTGTTCACGTACGGCCGTGCACATTCAATTCCAGTGTTCCCGCACTCTTGATTATCGCTTACGGCCCCATGAAAATTTTGGCGGGTAAATTATTACCTCGAGGACCACGGGATCTAGGGCGCTGAAATTTCAGGGCAGTGACCCCTTGCCCACGTACGACCATGCAAATTCAAATGCAGCGTTCTCGCGCTTTCGGGTTTCAGCTACGGCGCCATGGAAGTTTTGGTGGGGAAATTATTATCTCAGGAACCATAAAAGGCAAGAAGTTGCAGTTTTGCGGTTATGCCGGTGCGTGAGATTTCGCATGTCCGTGCGTGAAATTTTTAACTGTTTTCCAATGTTTGAACTATTTTTGCATAGACTAAGGTACAAAGCAGTGAAAATCATTAACAAATTCGCCAGATGAATTGCACAAGACGCATGATTATACCAGCTAGTCTGGTGCGCGTTACTATTTATTTTGTTTCTGTCTGTTTTGAGCCTATCACATTCATGTATCAGCTGCCCCTCTTGGATCCAGTTTGTTCCTACACACTAGCCCTCGCTGTTCAGTTTGCCTGGATCACGTTGGTATTTTCTCTCTTTCTTGCTATGAATTTACTTTTTATGCGTTTTGTGCTGTGTAACAGCAGTACAAAACGCATATTGTTACGGGGTCGTCTGT